AATAATAAGTATTTCTTATAATTGCGTGGGTAGCTGGTATAAGGTATGTTTAAATTAATAATAAATATTAAAATATTTTACAATACAATTAAAACGTTGTCAAGAGAAAAGTTGTCAGATAAATAATTTCTATTCAAAATTAAATTTAAGTTATGAACTAAGTGATGAAATGATGAAATGAATATAATAGGTATTTATTAGAAACCCTGAGCAAGTTAAAAAGTAAAAATAAAGTTAAATTTAACTTTTTAAAATTCAATCTTCATTAACTTAATTTTTAATCTAACTGATCTTTATTGATAGAAACATAATAAATAATGAGTTGCGAGTTACTTTTAATCAGATCGAAGTTTTGTAAATTTATAAATAACTAAACAATAATTAATATAATAATATTATTAACGATGCGTATCGCATAACAATTTAYTTTAAATTATTTTAAATGGGGAATTTTATAATTTCAAGATGAGTGTCGGTACACTTTATAATCACTATCACAACTTGCAATATATTAAGTTTTACATAAAAAATATGAATCTAAAAAATAAATTTCAAACGCCCGTTATCTCCTACCTCAATATCCATTTCATTAATGCTATACTATAAAGTGTATTTATTTAGTTTGTAGTGTTTCTCCATACTAATAGTAGATGTTTGCCGAATGTCAACACATTAAAGCAGTCGTTAAATATGRTACCTATACGTATCTGCAATCAAACAGGTAGTTCCCGTTATGGAGTTTGTATATGTTTTAATGAGTGAGCAAGTGTGCTTGTCCCGAGTGTTTATATTATACAGAGCAAACGAATTCAAAGATCACCTTAACTAAAAACGGTATGATATTCTAATCATTAGAACATTAGAATCTAATGTAATAATAAATCAGCTATCCAAGAAATCTAACCAGAAAWGGAATTAGACACAATTATACGAGTACTATACAATAAGGTCCAATCACCGCAACTCACTGAAAAAATTCTCATAACAATCATGATTGTAATAATAATAAATAGAAATAATAAATCATATTCCTATTAATGCTAAAGGAGCAATTGACGAAGTACTTAAAAAAAGGAAAATTGATTATTTTTACTATAATGGTCTAATTCAGGRGGTGTCAATTTCATATTTTTGGAAGGTATATGCGTATACTTACTAGAAAGGCTAAAATAYTGTTGAATAGTGCAATAGGCCAATATAATATATTTTACTATAGTCATAACTAATTTTTTCCTCGCGAAGTACAATCGAAAATTAGAATCTTTCTTTTCCATATAATAAATATTAAATTATATATTAAAAATAGTGTTTCCCCAACTATGAATAATAATATGAAGTTAGTATACTTCAATTATGAAATTATATAAATGTTATAATATTACCTATATTTTGTTATTTATTATTATATTGATGTGCAAGTACCTACTATTACCTAGGCTTCAATTTTTTTCTGAAACCCCCTACCCATACAAAAATTATATACATATATATATATGCCGATGGATGTTGATATACAATTTTAAACCAATTTATTTTGACCGCTAGAAAATAATACTTATGATGATATTTTTTTGTATGCGCTCCGACGTATTTAGATTTATTATTTTCTCATATACCAACATAGGTTTATCATATAATTATATGTGAATTATAAACCTAAACATATTAATAATAAAAGTTGTTTTATAGCTGGTTCCACGTATCATATTTTTATAAACGAAAATTTAAGAGTAGGTATAAGTATATTATACATAAACACATACTGTATACAGGATTATAATATTAATTGAAAACTACTCCAGCAGTATTAATATCTAGTCGCGAAATACAGTACGATACATTTAGTGAACGACCTAGACATAATGTCCACATTATTATTAAACAGTAGAAACTGGTAAAAGAATGGATAGGACATCAACTGAGAGTTTTGTGATTGAAATACTAAATTATAAGAAGCTGATATCAAAACATGGTATCATGCAGGTAACCTAAGAATATAGATTGATAATCATTTCATTTGTCCGTCATTTCGATCACAGACCTTCGCTAACATTTAGTATATCCACTATAATAGTCCATTTAGGCATGTTATATTTTATAAGGTAATACACACTAGGTATATACATTGTGAGAGACCAAAAATAACGTTTGTTATAAACCCTTATACCTAACCGATATTTCACTGAAGCAAAATCTTGATTATCTATAGAAATTTATAAAATGTATTCATTATAATCAACGGCCAAATGAATTAAAAATGCTTCATAAAGAAGCATTTTTATACATTATATACATACTATTTATCGAATCGTGGTGGAATAATGATGGAATAGCGAATAACCAGCACCAATATCGGCCCTAACTAATAAAAAAGTCAGGAAATGCAACCACTCCACCGTATGGTATATTAAAATATAGATGTATAAAAATGACGACTTATATATTTTTTTACTATAAGCAGTTTTCGGAGTAATTCGGATTTCAATGTAACGTAAATTTTTTTGAATGTTCTAGATTTCTAGAACAATGCAATTCCAAGTATACAAATAATTCGATTCATGTAAGATGTAACAAATACTCCGAAAGTGAAACTTTGATTTTTTTTAGGTCATTTCATTAATTTTTAGAGCATATTTATCGAGTTACAGAGTTTTAAGTATAAATTACGAAATTATAATTTTAAGACAAGAAACTTTATTATGTAGTCTAAATGTTGCAATATTCATAGTTAAACTAGTATACAAATAAAATATAATTTAACATAATCATAGTTTTAAGTTGTTATATGTCAAGAATGAATAATAGATRCAGCTCCAAAAATTATGTTGTTTTCCGATAAAAGCTTAATAATTCTATATTAGGAATATGGATTATAAATATCTAGTTTGTATCGTGTATATTTATTAAAAACTCATACCAGAAATAATTAATCAACTCTAAATTATATACTGTTACACTATATAATACGCATGACTGACCCTCCAAATCCAAACTCAAACATTTCGTGATCTTGCATATATTYGATATGTGTAGCCATGCAGGTACATGCACGTAGATAAATTTGCAAATTATAATGTCAGTCTCTCTATATTGTGATATATAACACACCCAGTCTATATATAATTTTTGTGTAGTAAACATCGGTGGGAAAAAATGAAAACCTTTTTAAAACACACTTTCTGAATCACCCTGTATGCGGGAGAGTATCGATATCTCTATAGGTACCTAAGTATCAATGAGTATATAAATAATAATAATAATAATATTATTATTTTACGCGTGCCCGAGCGGGAGAAAACGCCGCCACAGTGATCTTCCGTCCGACCGATCGAGCGAAAAAAATTCTTCCGCGCGCCGACCCGTACCCCCACTGCCGGCCCGTTTCCCCTCCCCACAGCGGCGCGACGGACCGCAGCCGCATCGTGCATTCCGTTCGGATTTCGTCGGACTGAGTCAGTAGGGCAATCGCGCGCGCAGACCGGTTACACTCGGCGGCGCGGTTCAGTTCAAGGTTTCCCATTTCGGAGAGTTCAACGCATATATAATAATATAAAAATAATAACACTATATACATGTTATACGCGTGCCCGTCCTAGTGCCTCAATACCTAATAATATAATATCACGGTGGTCGGCCCCTCCCCCCGGAAAAATCGTTGTCGCCCGTCGACGGGATTTATATTCTCTCGTCACTAGCCGGCCGGCCGCTGTACGATCCGCGCTCCGCACCGTTCCGCTACGGACGCGTAAATAATATTATAGCTGATACGATATTATAATAACACGTCATTATTACGACTATAATACACCGAGAGCGCGAGTCGTCCGCTGACCTTTCGAGTTTTGAGTTTCGGTCGACTCTGTACTTTCGTCGCCAATCGATTCATTTTGAATATATATATTTTTTTATTTTTGTTTCCCAAAGTTTTTCTCTACCAGCCAACCCGCCTCTTCCATCGTTGATAGATCCACGCCGATCGATCAGTTATCCTAGAACTATACAGTGGTGACAGTTGGAGTAAACCGCCTCGCATCGTCGCTCGGACACAAAAGAAAATCGTCTGTGAACAACGGAAAAACATGAACAAAACCACGTAAGAGATCACCCGGCGCACTGCAAATAGATCGCGGATCCTCGTGCAGTCGATTCCTTCCCATCGTATACAAATTGGAGCACGGTGACTGGTAAGAAACCAAAATAAGAAAAAAAACATTTAAAACAAAACATTCATTATACCTACTTATTATTTTTATTTATTTAATTTTTTTTTACATGATATAAATGGAATTTGTATTTTTAAATATTTTTCTTCCGCCTATATGTTGTCGCAATAGTACAAGATTGTAGCGTCATATTAAATGATAATAAAACGTGTACCTATAGGCTATAATGCAATATTTATAAACTTTTTTATCGATACAATTTGGATCGCACTGCATAATGATAGCTGCTTAATAATGTACCTTATACTTTTTTGTATCTAGTTGGTGGACAAACTCGCCAATTCCTGTTTATTAAAAATTTAATAAGAAAATCAAACGTATTGATAATTTTCAAAATCAAATTTATTATGGAATATGTATGATATGCGGTTAGTATAATAGTAAAATAATATATTACCAATTGCGAGTAAATGT